CATTGTTGTCACCCAGGCTGCATCCACAGTCCAGTAGGAGATTTCATTGAGAGAAATTGCCTTTTCCACTCCTACCATCCATACTGGTTAACAGGCAGCAGCTATGCTGCTTCTTATAAATTCTTAATGAAATTATTTTTTTTCATACCTCCTGTTCCAAAAAAATCCTTATTTTAAAAAAAAAAATTGTATCTCATGGGCGGTCCTACTCATCTGGTGAAAACATGAAGAAATAGCCTGCAATAACAGCAGAAAAGGAATTGTAGAGGCTTCCACTGGTTTAAAAGTTTGGGCTGTACTGAAACACACAGGGACCGTAAAAGATGAAGCAGTTCCTGTTGATTTTGATTGATTTTGATAGTTTTAAAATATAAGGGTTTGCATCAGCTTTTTATATTTTTGGTAAAGATTTTAATCTATATTTTTGATTACTTTGAGAAAAACATCATTAAAGAGCAACTACCCAGACAGTGCAAACAAGAAGGCATTGAAGTGTATCTTCTGGCCAATTTGGTGTTTTGCTCTAGGTTGTTTAACCAGACTATATTGAAATCTTTTCATAAYATTGTCTGGTGTAATAACCTTGGTATAACTTCTTTTCATGCTTCTTAAGTTCTTGAGCTCATTATCGTCATCTTTTGCCTTCATTGKAATAGATTAGTAAGAGCAGTCCTGTCCTTCTCTCATCTAAATAATGATCATTGTCACAGTCCTGTCTGAAATATGTTCCCATGTGTTTTTCATTCCTCTGTTGGGTCTCACTGAAATATGGCATGTTTTTTTCTTTAGCTTTCAAGATCTGTTCAGTCTTAGGTTACTCTCTGTGAAATCTTTCCAGGACTGTATGGTAACTGACATCTCACGTAGAGTGTTGATTTTCATTAGCTCCTTATTGACTTGTCTGAGACARTCTGTTCTATGAGCGTCTCACAAAGCTGTCATTAATTTTTTAGAATGTCTTTTAATTCTGCTTTGGTCCACAGGAAAAATAGCTCCCTAAAACAGGGTGGGGGAAGGAAACAAGTCTTTAGGTTCCCCACAATGAGACTTCTGTCTATCATGATGACTAGTATTTCTCACCATTTCCTTGTAATCCTCATTAGTGTCTCTGTGCTTTGAGGTTTCAGTTGTAGATGGTTAGAGGTTTGTTTTTGGGTCTGTACGGTCCTGGCTTTCTTCTAGGGCTGTGGAAGAAATCCTTTCCTAGAAAATCATTAAGGCACTTTTTCTAAAGTATTTTTTTTCCTTTTTGGAGACATTGTGAGTCTCATTTCTATGTTGTACCAGAAGGGCTTCCCTGAGGTATGGAAGTAGGTTGTAGGTGTGGAGAAATAACTTGTAGGTTGTAGGTGTGGAGAAATAACCATCCCTTAGCTGATGGGTGTAAATAATCAGGAATTGTCAACCCACTGATAAAGTCATCTGGAACATATTAAAAAAAAAATTGCAAGCAGACAAAAGCTTCTAGCAGACGAGAGTGAAAAGAGCTTTCAGGTGATTACTGCTTCAAAAAAAAAAAAGTTATGAATTGTGGCTCTGGTTACTAGGACAGGAGAAGAAATTGAATCCTAAGTGGTTTATCTCATMGAAGCTGGCAAATACCATGACCATATACATAAGCAAGTTTTGTGTSTCCTTTTACTGCAAGTCCTCTAAATTACTTTTTGTTGCTGGCTGATTTAATAATATAATAAGTTTTGTTGGCATTGTTGTCAGCTCAATGGAACAACTTTTTATTTGTGACCAGTTTAAATATGAAGTACATCTAAGAGCAGAAAGGATTCTGAAGGCATAATTTAATCTCATCAAAATTARATTGTAATGAAGACATAAAAGCTAACTTACTTTTTTGTTTACTGTTGTTTGTACATTGCTAAGGTTGCTGAAACATTACCTCAGTGTTCCTACAAGATACATTTTGCCTAATTCTGTAGSAAGTAAAACCATTTTTTCTGAATATTTTTAATTTGAGAAAAAGGTCAAAATCAGACATGCCATCTGAACATCAAGACCTTCTGATGCTATTAACTAATAATTCACCTTGATGATACTAGTTAAGAATGCTTCTTGTTGGAAGAATACAGCTTAAATCAGAGAATCAGTCACATAAGAGGAAAAATGTTTCATATGTGAAAAAAATAATAGACAACTCTTTTTTTTATTTCTTCATTTAATTTTTTTAAKCTGGGAAAGTCTGTAATTTTTTCCTGAGTTCTGTTTAGTGACACATTTCAGGAGACATCAGTAGAACAATGAAACTGYGGCACTGTGTGCCACTAGTCTAAATAATATTCCAAATCCAAAGACAGTAGGATTTCTGAGAGAAGAGAGTATAATTTTGTTTTGGTGTATAACTGATTTTATAATCTGGTAAATGCAGCATACACGCTCTTTCATTTATTTTTGTAGGTAGCTAGCTCCCCCTCTCTTTTCTCTGTCTAGTTTAGAACAGTCAGATTTTATCCTKTTATATTGATTGTTTATTTGATATAGCTCTATCTGTCCCAGTTATCTGAAATGATTAAAAAAAAAAAAAAGGAATGAAACTCCAGAATGCTGTAAGGAGAAAAATATTATTTTTTAATCCAGAGAMGATATGGGTTTTCAGATACATCCCTTAAGGAAATAGTTCTCAAATCACATTGTAATGTGGTTTAAATGACATTTTCTCCAGGGTATTTTGATTATTAGTGTTGRAGAAAGGGTGAAAAGTGCAGTGGTTGTTGGAGAATATTAAAGGACATATTACTGCAAATCGATATTCACTTAAGTTATTTCCTTATCCAATCCAATCCATGATTGAGGGATGCTGGAGACAATAAAATGAACTAGATGCTAGATTCAACCAGCAGACCATTAGCAACTAGACAGAGAAGCTTTTCCTCCGATGGGAAAGAAGGCGAGGAGTTATATAGACAGTAGATTTTTATGAATTTGGTAAAAAATCATAATCGTAGTTAGTATTATAGTTTGCTAGATTAKAGAAACTGTTAAATGTAGTATAGAGAGTCAAAATCAGAAAAAAATTCTGTAATTTACCCGTCTTCAAATGTGGGGTTTGTTGTGTAGTTTTTAAAAATTTTTATTTTGGTATCTACTGTAGGTCTAGGACTGTAAATCCATACATGTGAGAGGTCATATATGCAAAACAAAATATTACCTCTGTGTGACTCTGGGGGTTAGATGGTTAAAGTTCTGTACAAAGAAATGTGGCATCAAATAGAAATTCACTCACTTAAAAGACATGCTGCAGGGTTTAATCTCATATCTTAATGAAATAAAATGAATTTTTTAACGGACCAGCAATAAAAGATGAGGTCAGTCAATAAAATACTTTTGCAGTCGTGATGGCAGCGAAGCAATAAATGCAATTGAACTTAAATAAGGGCAGGCTGTAGTGGAGAGAGCGTGTATACTAGAGGTGTATGGAACACAAGCAGACTGGAAAGGTAAACTCCCAGTTAGCCTTTTACACTAAAAAAACCCRATAAAATATTAAAGTTGAAAAACTGACTTCATGCTACGGTATTAATTTTTATAAGTGAATGCTTTAGAATTATTAAGGCCAAAAGTTTCAAAAAACCCTTCAAAGAAAGACATGATGGGGTATTGAGAAATTTCCTACTTCTCTACTGCAGGAGTCTTTTTCTCTGCTGTTGTATATTGTGCTCAGACTTTCCTTCCTCCTCTTCCCACCATTTATTTCTCTTTGGTGGTGTGGTTCTCCTGGCAGGTATGGAAATTCAGGAGGTCATGTGTGGTCTATCCCCCTTTCCCAGGATGTGCAGAGGCAATGAATAAGTCATTAGCTGGGTTTGTTCACTTAATGATCAGCAATTAGCAATTGGCTCCTAATGCTTCTGGTTGAGCTCAGAGTCAGCATTTCCTGAACTATGGGGTTTTACAATACCCGTTTTGGTGTTATCCTAAAATCAAGGTGGTCTCTGCAAAGAATTCCTCTTCCTATATTTGTATTCTGGTCTGTTCCGTGAGGGAAGATGGGAGATGGGTGTTCTGGGCTGGATGTGTAAGGCCACAGGAACCTCCTGGCAAATAACAAATAAGCAAGTAAAACTTAAATGCATGAAATACAAAGTGGTGTGTCTAAGGGGTGATATATCTCCAAGTATGTACACATACATATATATATATATATAAAGTGGTAGTTCAGTTGTAAATGGTAACATAAAAATGCGAGTTKCTAGCAAGATGATTCAGCACACTTAACATTTCTCATCCACGTCCATGTGTGTTTCTTTAAAATACCATTTCTTAAAAATAATTCTGCAGGTTATTTGCACAGAAGCTGGTGACAGAGGCATTTGAGGCAAGGCAATGTTGGGGAAGATGGGGATGGGAAGGGATGAGGGTGGTGGGGTCAAATTCCCATTGCATTAGCTGYTTGTGTTACACATGGGCAGGTCTGTACCACTGCTGAGCAACAGGAGCTTGCACAGAAATGTGGACATCAGCATTTTAATGTAGACATGGAAGAAACTAATAGGATTTGGTGATTCATTATTAAAAACAATTCCATTCAAAAGAGGAAAGTGCTTTGKTTTTAGGGCCTTAAAGGTAAAACCTTATATTCTTCCTAGTCTGAGTCGTTAGTTTTCAAATTAGACCCTGAACTTACTGGAGATAGCTCACTAGGAGGTGATCTTTCTTTAATCCAGGCCTGTTTACTAATTTTGTGTGCATATTGTTTGCCATTGTACCTCCTCTCTGTCTTTGCTTCTCCGTTACTGAAACTGTTTCTCAGTTTGGTGGAATTCCAATGTTTTGAAYGCTCATGTCAGTACAGCCATTTATTTTGTTGCTTTTATGCTAATTTTGTTATTTTTGAAGTATGGCAGCCTTCATTTTTTTTTGTATTACACAATTTTTTTTTATTTTAATGTAGAGGTTTTAAGTATATCTGGATTGTTTTCTTATAAAAAACTCTTTACTTGAAATCGGAACTTTCTACTAAGTCACTGTTCTTGCTTATGTTTGTGTAGGGGAAAATGCAGTGTTGCACTTCTGAATGAGACAGAATCTGTGCTGTCATACCTGGAGAAAGAGGTAATATGTGATTTCTATGGAAKTAAATATTGGGATGGGTTTATTTTTCTTTTACAGCTTTGTTTTTAATAAATGGGCAAACAATACTTYGACAATCTTATCTTGGATGATAGGTTAGAAAAATAGTGTTGTTCAAAACACTGAAAAATATTATTGGATAAAAATTTTAATTGACACTCTTAAATGATAGGSTTATTATGAATCTGTTTGTATTTAGAAAATAATTAATTTGAAGTAATTAATATGTTATCTTACAGAAGAAAAATAKAGAGATGTTTTCCTATAGCGGGTACTGAAAGGAGAATTTACATGCTGCTTTTTTTTTCCTCCTTATTTGCTCCGCTTTCTCTTTTAATTAATGGAAAGTATCCCTTCACCTTCCTCTGGAAGGTGTTTAGGATGCTTAGCTTTACCAGAGAGGARGAAAATTCTCCAAGAATTTGGAAGATAACTATTGCAAAATTCGTTTAAAATAAACATATTTTTCTTTGGAATSTATTAATATAATGTCACAAAGACAGTGTTTTCTAACTGAAATTAGCATSTCTTTAAATATCTACACCAAACCATTGATAATCAATAAAAATATTTGTGAAAGCAGGGCTTGGCCTATACTTCATGTGACTATACCACATTTGCCAATACTGTCTTAGTGCCTCAAAAGAGTTTACGCAGACAGTGTTTAATTTTTTTGAGACCAATTTATAATGGAAAGTCAGTATGGTAGAGACACTTTAGATTGAAAACATGTTAAATTCAGAAAGCAGTTAATGTTAATTCTCTTCAAATCCACTGATATATTTTTGTGTATGAATCTTTTCATTATTGCTCTGTTCTGAAGCAAGTCCAAACAATGAAAGAAGTTTCAATTGGCCTTTTGAAAGTACCCATGAAACATCATGATATGAAACAACATATTATGTAAAACAAAGATTTATGTACCAAATCTGTGTTCTGTAAAGTAYACAAATTTCTAAATGGAAGGTGTTATAAGTTTGCAAACCTAATTTTAAAAATTATTATGGTGTTGCAAATGTGTCTTTCTTTTTTAGGATGCTTTTTTTTATTCATTGGTATATGATCCATCGCTGAAAACGCTATTAGCAGACAAGGGAGAAATCAGAGTGGGGCCTAGATATCAAGCAGATGTGCCAGACATGCTTGTGGAAGGTAAATAAATGATCTTTGATTAGTGAAAAAAGTCCTCATCTTGCATTATTGCTCATGCTGACTTTGTGCACTAAGGTACATAGAGGCAGAGAAAGTAAGATGATAGGTCTGAGAAAATTAATGAACACCAGTAGGTATTATGGAGAAAGAAAGGATACTTGAATAGCTGCTGAAAATATGTCCATTTTCAGTCTGTTTGTACTGCAATTTAGGCATTTGGTTTTTTTTTTTTGTGTAATTGTATGGTCTGGTTAGTTATTTCATACAGGCTTCATGGAGAGAAAATGTTAAGGACCAACCCATTTTGTAAAATAATAACAATGTAGTACAACAAGTGAAAAATGTATTTCTTCTTTCCCTTTTAAAATGAACAATGCATAGAGAATTCATGTCTTTGTATCATTTTATTTTMAAATATTGTCTTTCTTTAAAGCATCTTGTCTGTTTTGTAGCAGGATTGAAATATTTCTAGTCTTTGCATAGCTTTAAAATCACTGATATTTTTCTATTTTATGTATAATCTAGCACAACCACCTATGCCTTAGTCTTTTGCTACATGGAAACTATTATTTTAAACAAGATTTCAAATATTTATTTAATGCTTAGATGATACTTAAGAAGAATGAGTAGCTGTGTCTTGTTATGTTTGCAATTGTATTTACYCATTAAATTTAAAAAAAAAWTTCCTTGGAAGTATCTAGGTAGATACAGATGGTAATTATTTTTTAATATGAAAGGATAATGTGAAAAGAACATCYCTTGCAGGAGGTCCAAGAGGTTCTGAATGCTCCAAATATATATGTATTTGTAACCTTAAGTGTTGTGTTTTCTATTCATCATGATGGGCTTTTTTTTTTTTTTTCTGCTATGCTTTTTGTTTTGCAGAAAAGCCCCCATTATTTCTAATTACTACAGAGCTTACTTAATAAATGTATAAAACTAAAASAAGCCGAATTTGATTTCTGGCAAGTGGCAGATTATTTTACAATGAATGCTGTTTAACTGATTACCTACATTATTATTCTGACTTTTCTTTTCATAACCAGAAATAAACTACAGGAAGTCAGATTTGTTTACAAGGTGCTCAGATTTGTTTCAGAACGGGTTTATGAATAGACTTTATGATCCATTGCTATTCTTGCTGTAAAATGTACCTGCCACAGGGAAAAAAATATTCCTGTAGGCATTCATATRCTCAAGAGGAAAGCTTGCCAGAGGATTAATGTGCAAATGGCTGTCTCAATGGGTGGGAGGTAGGTGGGAAGTACTGATGGGATTCCCAAGTACCTGGCTGAACTGTAGGCTTTTCAGGATAAGCTAGGGTTGTCTGCCAGGCAGGAAGTCTTTTCCCTGTGAATTCTTCTTACTTAAATTACTAAAGACAGAGGTTAATTATGAAATAGTGATTATTACATATAAAGTAAACTTTTTCCTGTTCAAATTTTGCTTATTTGATTTTTTTCTAAAGTTAAATTCCATATTAATTTAAACTACCGTTACCAATTTCTTCTGGAGCTTAATATTCTGAGTTAAATCCTTGATTTGGTTAAAATGAGTAGAAGACCTCTCTCTGACATCATGAAGACAGGATTTCACTGTGTGTTACAGTCCTCTTTTTCTCACACTCCACTAACCCCCAAATGCAATAAATGGTGCAGTCTTCTTGCTRTCTTTAGTAGGAAACAATAATTTATCAAAGCTGAGAAGCACAAAGATGCCTGCAAACCAAGGATCTGTTGGTACATGGAGTACTCGMGCAGTTTAGTTGGATTAATCTACTTTTATTTCAAGTGGCTAGTGGAAAAAGAAGAGTTTGGTTTTGGGAGGATAAAAATATCTGAATTATGGTAGTTTTGACTGATTTTTTTCTAAATGTTTCCATAGCCCTCTGACCTCCAAGGGAAAACAAAAGATGAATCAGCTGTTGCTGTGTCTTTATGTAAACTGACAGCCTGGAAGTTAATCCATTCACTGTCAAGCCTTTTCTTTAATGAAAACAAATATAAACAATGTTTAAAATCAATAGAATAATTGTATTTGAAAAATAAGGAATTYTGTGAAGATTTTTAGTCTTTAGATAAATTTTTCAGCCTGTATTAAAAGTTGCTAGTGATCTCTATCTCCAAATTTTTATGATCTAATGTGTAACTCTTTAAAAGTTTAGGGTAATCACCTGAAATTTAAAGAGAGAATTTAGACAATATCATGTCAGTTAGGAAAAATCAGTCTTTATACCATCTAATAATATAATTGTAAAATAAAATGAAAAGCATTACTGAATTTGTTGACACATAAAATTTGTCTCTTAATGTAAAGGAAGAATGCCTTTTTGAAGGTGGTTGGTAGGAATATTTTATATTTACAGGAAATCCCCAAAACCATTAAAACAGTAAAACTAGACAAATAGAAAGTTCACACACCATTAATTGTTTTATTTTCAAAGTTATTGGCATATAAATCTAATTCAAATGACGAAAGACATGCCAGTTCAGATTAGCTTTCAGAAGACCAGACAGAACATGGCTGAAAAGTAAAAAGATGTCTCGAGAAACATGAAAATAATTTGTTTGGAAAGGTACTGATATATTTYAGCATATTCAAAATTCAAATTGCTTTCACTTTCTCCGTAGTGTGATAACTTACCTTCTATCAATGAACAATGTGGGGTGTTTTTTTTTTTATTTTTGGTGTTTATTGGAGAGCTATGTGCGGTTTTTTTGTAGGAATAGATTTTTTTTTCCTTTGCATTGATGTTGCCGTTTTTGTATCCTTGAGTAAAACGTACTGCAAAAGCAGATGGTTAGGTCAAACTTTGGATAATGCAGCATATCTGCTTCTTCCTGTCCCAGGGGTGTATTGTATAAATTTATGTTTCTCTTTAATTTTTGAAATGAAAAGAACATCTGCTTTACAAAGTCTGAAAGGTTTATTAATATCAAGATGCATACTAAAGTATTCCAGATTCCACTGTTTTCTATTTTTCCACTTTAAGTTACATTGAATCATAAATCCTTTACACAATGGCAGTAAACAAATATAAGCAAAAGTTTAAATTTGGTTGAAAATGTGTAAGCCTTGTAAATCTATGCCACTTTTGTTTGTAATGTTTAGCTAAATTGCTTAGATCACACATTTAGTGAAGACTGTAACTTTGGAGAAAGACCAGAGCAGATTTCTTTCCACGGTCTCTTCCGACTTTTGTTATCACCATTCTTGGGAGTAAAAGTTGTCAGATTTGAATGATGTTATGGTTGTGTGAAGTCTTTTGTCCCCCCAGTGCCAAGTGTTGCAGTCTGTCTACTCTAGTTTGAAGATTTGTAGAGTCTTTTTAGTTGCTTTTAATACACTGGAAGACAGGAGACTCTTCTGCAGCGTTGGCTCAGATTCTGGCTAGTAGGATACTGCAGAAGGTCCTTTCTTTGTTTTAACAACACATTCTCTGGTGGCTTATTCTGTATGACAGGATATAGCAGTTTTCACATCTGTTTCCAGCATGAGGTAACATTTTTCTCCTCTGTGCAAAACARAATAAAAAGGTTTGTCTCTGAGAATCAAAAGCATGAATTTGGACAAGGAGTATCTCGTTTCAAGCATCCCAACTCCACAGTACAGGSGCAAGGTATCTGATTCTCTGCATGCAATGGCCAGAAGCTGCTGTCTGGTGCATTCACCTACTGTGTTTCATCAACAGATTATAAATTACATCCCAACTAAGTTCAATAAAYAAAGCTAAAGACCCTAAACAAGCAAGAATAAAACCCTATACAGTGTTGCTTTGGGCAAGTCATTATTATTGTTGTTACTTGGTTACAAGRCATACTTTTATAAATTGCTCTGAATATGATCAAATTATTGTCACCTTTAGCTAACATATTTTCTTTAGCTGTGTTTTGTGTATGGGAAGATTCACACAGGCAAAGCAGCTTAGATACTTGGTAGACTTTTTATGTAACACTGATTCTTACTTACTAACATTGATTTTCACAGCTTTAAAATCCAAATGTTTTTTTAATTCTGCCATTTCAACCAGTGTGGCTCAGGCAGGGGAACTACTGATGCAGATTGTTTTACATGATTGGCTAAAAAACAGAATGAGAGAGAGAAAAGTGCCGGCATGGCATTAGGGATACAGTTTATGAAGTAGGATAATGCTTAAGAATGGGAGAAACTGGGAAATTTTTGGCTCTGTAGGATTTCATCTAATGCATTGTTCTTCCTGTCACAGGGCGCTGCTCTTTCTGCCTCATGCATGCCATCATAGGCCTGATTGCAGCTGTCACAAAATGTAAATGTGTTTGCACAAAATAAAATGCATGACAGCTTAGCTAAACAAATACAACTGAAGTCATGTTGCAAATTGGGAAGCCAACTTTTATAGTTTACAGTAATCTCATTGGCCAAATCAGTAATATCTTAAGTAACGCTTAATGTCTTTCATTCATGGTGTTGTGAATTGAGTGGAAAGGCTTCAACAAAGTCAAAACAGGTCAATARTTCTTTTTCTGTTTGTCAAAGCTCTACTAAAACTTCTGGAACAAAGGATAGTTTCTAAACAAATCTAACAAAAAACTTTATTGTGACTCCATTCAGGGCATGATTTGTAAGTCTAGTGAAACTACTTGCAGTGATTCTCTGGCAAAAATATCCAAACCAAACAACTGTATTTTCAAGGAAATTACTGCAATTTGGAATAACAATTTCCTATGATTTTTTAAGAAGTAATTTATCAAAATTAATTTTCTGTTGTTCCATTTGCTTTTGTGTACCAGGATCTGGTAGAAGAGTGCAGTGCTAGGCAATGTAACATGTTTAAGTGTTGAAATCAGCCTTTTCCAGAAAACAGCCCAGCAGCGTAGGAAGGACCATTCTGAATCAAACCAGCAGCTGTTTATCCATGCAAATCTTGTCACTTTGGTCTCTTGGTTTTCTCAAAACCTTTTTAAATCCTATTAGAAATCCAACAGGCGGTCACCTTGAGCTTCCTTGCGTCCCTCCGTGAT